TCGGACTGCTTGCTGTTTGCTTCAATTTGCAACAGCACACTGGCGCCAGTTGAACCTCTAGCGTACATTATAATAACTCTAAGGACGTCACCACCAAGAGATAAGAGACGCGTGCCCAAGCGGTGGTGTCATGAATTTGGCCCTTTCGATTCTCTTGCAACGTTGAGTCTGACCGATTTCTGGCGTCCAAAGGTGCGAGTAGTGCGAGGCTCAATCAGGTGAGCTTGTACTACTCAAAATGAGGTCGCTGCAGTTTTTTCAAAGCTTCAGCGCCGAAGGCCTATTTCCCCCCCCCCCCCCCCCCCCCCCCCCTGGAACGTCTCCTCATGGTAAATCCCCTCCACACTTTCCTCGGCAATGAGCACACCGTACCAATAAGCTAACTTTAGTGAGCCCGTGGGCGACAGCATCTCAAAGCAAGACAAAAAAGGACATGCCAAAAGACAAGCCCAGAACCACGAAGAAATCATCAAACGAAAAGTGATGAAAAGGCGGCCGCTAGAGAGGAAGGATAACCTTTGAAGAAGGCTGCTTGGCGTCTGCGTTTGGGAGCTTTCAGGGCACACATTTTTCGCAGACAACCTCCAAAGAGAGAGAGGGAGACAGAGAGAGAGAAAGGGGTATTTTCTCCCCGTGCTCGACGTGCTGGCCTTGTTCAGAAGTGTGCCTGGAGTCGAGGACCCTGATATTTGGTGCGCCTCCCCACAGTCTCTCCACTTCGAAACTCCTGACGCCGTCCCTGTCGGAAAGACGTACCGTGACCTTGACGGAGATAAACCCCACTTTGGAAGCGCCCAGCAGGCGCGTCCACCCACCGCTGTTTTAATCTTTTGTCCCTCGCGTCGATTGCTTACGTTTTTTCTTCGAGCTGACGAAAAACCCCGGAAGAGGGGTGGAGGTTGCCTGGCGAGGCGTTTGGGGGGGGCCATCGCCCCCCCCCCCCCTCCCCCCCCTTTTGGATCCGCCACTGGCCCTTGTAGGGAAACGCTGCACGGACATGCGGTACCCCGCGTCTCCACCAAAATGTCACTAAAGAACAGGCGAGGAAACAAAGAATAAATGGGGAAACTGAAACGTTTAATGGGGGCGAACTTGTGCCCAAAAATGAAAAGGAAACAGAAGATAACAGCAGAGCGTCGCGGGTGTCAAAGTCGGCGAAAAAGCAGAGTCGAACGCTGGGGCGAAAACTGTCTCGAGCTTGCCACGCGGAGCCCCTTTCGCACACGCGTGGGCTTCTTTAAAGGGGCGGTGCAACGATTTTATGATTAAAATCATTTGCATGTCGTCACTTTTACGTTGTTTATCGTGTCCCAGAGGATCGAGAAAACACTTCCTTGATTTAAAATGTCGCGATTCCGCTGCATAATCGCAAAGCAAAAGTCGAGCTTTTTCCCCCACCTGCAGCCCCAAGTGGCAGTCGAAGGAACTACGGCGGAAAGATTACGTGACCTCGCTCGGCTCTAAGCTGCAGCCTAGCGCCCGCTAATGTACGCAGAGAGAGGGAGGGGAAGCGTCCTCCGAGATAGCACACGGGAAGCTACACGGCACTCCGAATGACGTCACTGGGAGTGCGACCAGGTGTGACCCTGAAGACTGGGAGTGAGTTGAGGGGTGCCCGAAATACCAATCTTTATCTTTTTTTTTACGCAATAACTAGGACACGCAGGCGAAATCGGTTTTCTGTTCTTTACTTCAGAAGTGTCAGGGGGCAACTTCCAGAAATCTTTGACCGAAGTCCGAAAATCGTTGCACCGCGAAGGAGAACTCCGCGGACGGATGTCGTGACGTCAGCAACCCAGAAAACTCCGTCCTCGCGGCTCCACTCGACGCAGAACTCCGAGGACGGATGTCGTGACGTCAGCGACCCGGGAAACTCCGTTCTCGGCTTTATACTTTATACGCAGCCGAAGCTACAAGCGCGAGCTCACGGCTTTCAGCATCCCTGCCGAGCACGCGCTCTCATGCAGTGCAAGCGCTGTTCAGGGCCACATGCTCGCACTTGTAGCATCAGCTGCGTTTGGACTTAAGCTGAAACGAAGTGTAGCATCCACACGGACGGCGAAGAGTCACGAGGGATATCAGTGTTACCAGCCGAATTTAGCGGTCGCACTCTCAACAACAACGTTCGGAGCATGCTGAACAGAGCGCGAGCGCCGTAGTTTTAAGAACAGGAAAATGGAGGCGCAGATGAAGCGGCGGTATGCCGTTATGGCAGCAGCGGTGCTAGAAACGGACGACGACGACGTTCTACCCACTAAAAGAAGGTTCTGGGTGAAAGATTGGATGGAGAAGAAAGAACTTGGGATACAGAACCAATTGTACGAAGAGCTGCTAGAAAGCGACTCCATGGAATATCGAAAACTCCTTTGGGTGCCCCATGACATCTTGGTTGAACTACTGGCCCGCGTCCGTCCGCGAATACAGAGGCAAACGACGAACATGAGGCGTCCTGTGAGCGCGAAGACCCGTCTCCAGCTGACACTGCGATACTTGGCATCTGGTGAGTACGTGCTTGTTAAAATCAGTCACCAATTTTCTTTGTGCTGCTGCGATTATACTGGGAAGGAACCGAGAACCAATTAAGTTGAAAAAGAAACAGTCAATTAGGATCCTTCAAAGCTGGCGTGTCTAGCTTACCTCCAGCAGCGACCAAAAATAGCAGTTGTCCATAGGGTATCAAAGCATTTATCTGTCGGCAAAAAATGAAGATGTATCCGTGTCATTTTGGACACAATTTTTTCATTAGCTATAAGAATTAAAAGAGCATTATTTTTTATATTTATTTTAGCTTTACTTATTCCTTACTCAGGCCATCATTCGGAGCTTGAATGTTCATTGTTGAGTGGTGGGTGCTTGTGCAACATCCATAAGTTAGGGGTCATATCCTGTTACCCAATAATTTTCCCGATATAAAGATAAATGCAGTTGCAATTAGAGCTTCTTTAGCGTTAGCCAGAATGCGCAATAATTTCTTATTTGTTTTTTGTTTTTTTAGGGGAATCCCATCACTCCCTGAGCCGACAGTTTCGCGTCGGCCACAGCGCTGTGAATGACATAATTCACAGCACGTGCGCTGTGATCTACGACATGCTGAAGGACGAAGAACTGGCAGCACCCAAGTCGACGGACGCCTGGCTGCGGGTGGCTCAGCAGTTCAGCGACCGGTGGCAGTTCCCAGACTGTGTGGGTGGCATCGACGGGAAGCATGTCGCCATTATAAAACCTGCATAGACCGGAACTGTTTACTATAACTACTAAAAAACGTATAGTATCCTTCTTTTTGCACTTGTTGATGCTAGCTGCAAGTTCCTGTATGTCGATGTCGGGACGCCCGGCTTTAAGGGAGACGCTGCCATCTGGCAAACCACCCCTCTTCAGAAGGCAGTCACAAACAGGAGTTCTGGGCTACCAGACCTGGTAGACATGAACACTTCGTCTGGGCTTCAGCTTCCACCTGTGATCGTGGGGGACGACGCGTTCCCTTTATCATCGAACTTGATGAAACCCTTCGGCGGAAACAGCCTAGCACCTGAACAGAAGATCTTCAACTACCGGTGAGTTTTATTAAAAATCGTTAACCACATACCTCTTAAATAAATGTTGCCTGAACCCGCTTGGCATAGTATGGTGTGACCGTCTTCATGGCGTCGAGGTAATGTTTTGGCCTCCGGAGTACTAAGACGATGGTTTGAACTATGGGTGGTCTCTTCCCCGAAAAGTCATTGGGGTGCACGTGTCGCTCATATCCTCAGTTGCTTTGCGACGTAGAACCCATATTTTTTTTCAGTATGGTTAAATTTTCGCGTACTGCAGTTGTATGGATTTGAAACGCACAAGAAAACAAGGTGCAATAAACACGCAAATAGGCACAACGAACAATGACGCACCCTTGTCTCGTTTATCAATAATGATATTCGCCTTGACTACACGTCTTCCTGTTTCTGCGGTATAAGTGAAAGGAATGAAATCAGCTTGGTTGCACATACTCGTGCATACCCAACGTCTTGTCTGTGATACATTGAAGTTTTCAGTGCACAAATTTGGCTCTAAGGTACAATTTTGATGCAAATGACTGCAATTTGTTTTTATTTATTTATTTCAGGTTGTCCCGAGCGCGGCGTGTGACCGAAAATGCGTTCGGTATTCTGGCTCATAGGTTTCGGTTCCTCTTAACCACTGTGCATGCTAGACCAGAGAGAGTGCGCACGATGGTACAAGCAGCGTGTGTTCTGCACAATCTCCTGAAGGGACATCCCGACCAACTCGAACAACCCAGGACAAGCAAAGAGCCTGGAAAGAAGTCAACTTTCTTCAACCTCAGGCCGTCGAAAGCTCGCCCCGGAACCCTCGCTGTAGCTGTCCGAGAGAGGCTCTGCAACTATTTCAGTGGAGAAGGTGCCGTGCCTTGGCAGAACAAAGAAGCTGGCGTTGACATCAGTCACCTTAGGAAGCAGGCGACCGTGTCGGTGCCTCCAGGCATTTAACACCCTGTGAAACGTTGCCTTGCGCAGCTCTACGAAGGACTGCAGTTCAACATCATCCTTCCTTTTTTGGTGTACTATCGGGGAAAAATGAAATACGAACAGAGGAGCGCGTGGCTCTCGGTACAGGCTGCGCCACCTGGAAGTGAGCCTAGGGACAAGGGTGTGTGGCCTACTCCGATGTGTGTACGCCCTTCGATCGGCACTCCCCTAGCTTCGGCATTGCACCGCTTGGTGCCCTGAAGGCTATCACCGCTATCGTTGCTCGCTCGACGCGTGCGGCGCGAGGAAGCTCGCCGCTACTAGCATGCTAGAGCCGCTAGTAGCAAGCTGCTACTAGCGGCGAGCTTCCTCGCGGCGCACGTGTCGAGTGAGCAACAATAGCGGTGATAGCTTTCAGCGCACTAGAGGTGCAATCCCTCAATGCCTAAGCTTGCGAAGCACCGAGCGAAGGGCGTATACTCATCGGAGTAGGCCACACACCCTCGCCCCTAGGCTCACTTCCAGGCGGCGCAACCTGTACCGCGAGCCACGCGTTTTTCTGTTCGTATTTTATTTTTCCCCAATAGCACATGCTGCATTTTTTCTGAAAAACACGGAATCACTTTTCGGACTGAGGTTTTTATGTGTGCTACCATGGAGCAGAACGAAAAGCTAAAATCATTTGTTCGTCGAAGTTTGTTTACGTGCCAAACTTCTGTGTGTTCGAGGGGAACATATCAAAGCGAAACATTAGCAATACTTAAAATCGACCCGATGCAGAGGGGGTCAGCAGCTTGCAACTTGCTGCAAGCTCTCTGGTAATATCTGCAATAATAACTTACATTTAAACGTAAGGATCTAAGAACTGCAATGTTATGTCATGTAAAGGGTATTACTCCAGAAGAATTGCTTGCAATGCGATGGAAAAATTCAGACGGGTACTTTGAGACACGTTTAATCCAAGTGTGCAGCGATTGCAGACAAGACCGATATCTGGCATCTAGCCCTCACTGCCAGAGACATCGACCGTAAATATTCGGCCACCACTATGCCAAACGCAGCACTGTCATCTGGTGCAGGTGGTGGTGCTTCCATGCACTCTGTTAGCCTTGTAAGGGCTGCCGTCCTCTGTTCCATGAGGGACAGTTCTGCCCCGTGCACCCTCCTTTTTTTGGGAGGTGCAGACGCCGATTCTTTTCCTGTCAAGGAGGGGCCTGCCCCAGAGGCGGCTCCAGGACTCGGTTCAGGGCTCTGTGCTGGGCTGAGCACATCTTCTGGGCTCCTCTCGTCAGAATCCTGCAGCCGCATGCCAACACAGTTGCTAGAAACCCGCACAATATTGTGTCATAAATACAGCTGTGTCTTTAACAATGACCGCGGGGGGACTGTGAAGCCTGTCATATAAAATATATTTTGATAAAGGTGCAAATTTCCAACTGTTTTGTCACCTCCTCCATGGTTTTCTTCTTTCTGGTACCCGCCTGTACGGTAAGGCGTACAGGTATAAGTTCAAGGCAGCAAAGAAAAAGCATTTCTTCCCACTTGAGGACATTGTAATAAGGCTAGAAGCTGGTTACTCTTTGACTCACCAAACTATAGAGGTAAAAAAAAAAGAACATCTAAAAATAACTGCTGGACTGTAATCATGAGGTTGAGATGTTTCGTGTTTATCCATTTGAGCATTCAACTCTGGTTTTAGTATGTAAAATGTTCCTTGCTCTTATTTACGTGCCACCGCAGTCATGCATAATTGGAAAATTTCGGGTGCACAAACACATATAGCACACTTACCCTGCCCAGAGGAACCCCTGCAAAGTCGAAGCTGGACATCCCCATCCCTGCTCGAGTTGTCGCTCCATCCAGGAAGCGCATGGCCGAAAAGAACTTCCATTTTCCGCTGTAGGCTTCGTCAGCTGCCTGGCCACTTTTTGTTTTCAAAATCTTCTTTCTTTCGTCTCGGTACGTTCTTCTTTTATTTTGAAGAAATCCTTTAAAAAAATCTGTTCACAATAAAAAAAAAAAAAAAAAAAAAAAAAAACCGTCAGAGCTGGGCAAGCACAAGCCACACTATTTCTGTGAAAGCTTTGACACTTGCAATTTGATTAAATGTATACCCTTATAATTAATACGTAACTTTAGCGAAATATGCCTGCTCGGGCTCGTTCGCTACCGGTGAGAGCACCTGGATTGAAAACTCGCACTGCAGAACCGCAGGCATACCTAGAGTCCCCTGCGCACAGTTGCGTTTGAGTGCGTTTGACTGCGTTGCGGCTGCGAGAAACCAGGACATCCCTGCTTCTTAAAGCTATTCCTTGAACAGAACGATTCTACCAGCCAGTTTGACAACGCCTTCACTGTCGCAATGCATCGAGGGAACTTTAGTCTTTCTGCATGTGCGACAAGCTCCCTGGTGCTCTGCGCGTGTAGAGCACGAGACGGCACGAACCGCGTCGTGCACTCTAGCCTGCCTCCTGTGAACTAAAGTTATGGCGGTGTCACGCACGCGCTGACCACTTGGTGAGATCGGTATTCCACGCCTCATACGAAGCACAGATGTGCTGGTTACTCGCTTTAGTGTCTGGACGCAACGCAGTCGAACGCAAATGTGTGTAGGGGCCTTTATCCGCACGCTCTCGTGATGTGATTTGACTACATTCAAGCGTCCTGTGATATTGTGATAGTGTTTGAATCGTCAGCGGCCGCAGAGCGCATTTATGCACTGAACAAAGACGTCACTCACCCACTGTGTATGGTGCAAATTGCGGGAACCGTGCGAACATCTCTTCGGCAATTTTCTCCCATATTGATGTCTTGAGGTTGGTCTTTGAATACAGTTCGCTGCTCATGTCCCACAGTGCAGGGAACTCCTCAACGAGAGAAATTAAAAAAAAAACGAGGCGTCGTCATTAAACTTTGCCATTCTACCACCGGACTGCAACAACAATACTGGAGGAGGCGATTTTGAAAAGCGCGTGAAGAACACTGTGGCCCTCGTGGCCCGACGAAGCAAAAGATTATCTCTAAAAGCATCTAAATGCAAACTACTCCGCGGCCGACCTGCGGAGCTCTCGTGCTGACAGAACAAACCCTCCGTGCCTCCGCCACGGAGGAGGACGGCGCCGCGAGGCGTCAAAAAAGGATGAGGTGTATCTCACGTGATGCGCGATCCGCGGAGGAAAGTGGCGGATTTCTCCTTCGTGTGGATACCCCACCTCCGCTGTGGAGAAGGACGGCGCCGCGAGGAGTCAAAAAGGAATGACGTATATGTCACGTGATGCGCGATCCGCGGAGGAAAGGGGCGGATTTCTCCTTCGTGTGGATACCCCTTTAAAGGAGCGGTGCAACGATATTCAATTGGAATGTTTTTCACTTGACACGAGCTTACTGGCACTAGTGGGACTCAAGGATACTCACACGCAACGCCACTGGCCAAGAAACTCCTTTGTTGCGGTGTAATTTCAAGGACAAAAGCGAGCATTTTCATTCAATCTCTCCTTTGCAAATTTTGATGACGTAACGTGGGGATCGAAGTACACCCAAGTGACGATATTTGAATGCGGTCCATAGATTGGACCCGAGCGTTGCGTGGGCACTCGACTTGGGCTCGTGATAATTGCTAGCTCGAGAAGCATTCGGGTAGTGGCCCGTGTCCAATCGCTGCAACGACGACAACAGCCGAGCCATAACAATGTCTGGAACTCAGCGCGTGTCCTGCGCTTTGCCAACCTCAGCGCGTGTCTATGATCAACACTGACGGCATATAACCGG